GCTGAAAGGGGTTTTAACCCCTTCAGCATTGCGGGAGGTGGGCCCCGAGGGAGGTGGGCACTCCAGGAGCCTAAAGTGCCAGAAAAACGAGTTTGTTTTCCTGGCACTATAGGATCCCTTTAAATAAAGTTGGGAGTTAAAAGATTAAAAGTTCTGCAAAAGAGCTGATCACCACTGGCCATCCTGTACCTTCTCCAAGCACCTACCACGCTGAGAGTTCCATCTCCAGGTCGTAAAAATGTTCCAGGAGCCCATGACAGCCGCAACAATTCTGGCGTTCCTGCTCCCACAATTTAATACCTAAGAGAGTAATTTTTGGAGGGTAGGTAGAGAGACAAGTCTACAATCCCTACCTAAGACCCAGGAGGAGCCAACTTCTTCCATGAAGAAAGGACTGTATTGATGACTGGCACCTAGCCGCAACAGCGTGGAATTCCACGTCGGTTCGGGATGTGACCTCAGCCCAGTCAAACTTTATTTGCCTCTTCTCCTGGGGGGCCCAGCAGCCGGTCACCTCAGGGCCCCCCAGAGGCTGGCCCTGCTGACACCCGGCAGGCGCGCACGCGAGGGAGCACTCTCCCTGGCTGAGTAGAGGAAGGAAATTTGAGGGAGGGAGGGAGGGAAGAAGAAATTTGAGGGAGGGGGAGAGAAAGGAAATTGGAGGGGGGAGGAAGGAAATTGGAGGGGGGGAGAAGGAAGGAAATTGGAGGGGGGGAGAAGAAGGAAATGAGGGTGGGGGAAGAAGGAAATTGGAGGGGGGGAGAAGGGGAATGGAGAGGGAGGGGGAGAAGAAGGAAATTGGAGGGGGGGAGAAGGCAATGAAGGGAGGGGGGAGAAGAAGGAAATTGGAGAGGGGGGAGAAGAAGGAAATTGAAGGGGGGGGGGAGAAGGAAATTGACAGGGGAGAAGGAAATGAGAGGGAGGGGAGAAGAAGGCTGGAGAGGGAGGGGGGAAAGGAAATTGGAGGGTGGGAGAAGAAGAGAGGGAGGGGGAGAAGAAGGAAATTGGAGGGGGGGAAGAAGGAAATTGGAGGGGGGGAGAAGGAAATTGGAGAGGGGAGGGAGGGGGAGAAGAAGGAAATTGGAGGGGGAGAAGAAATTGGAGGGGGGAGAAGGAAATTGACAGGGGGAGAAGGAAATTGAGGGGGGAGGGGGAGATTGACATCTATCACACACACACACACACAATGCACCCCTTGCACACAGAAAAACACACAATGCATTACACACAGACACACATACACAAGCAATGCATCCCTTACACACAGCAACACACAATGCACCTTACACACACTCAATGCATCTTACAGACGCACACACTGCATCCCATACATACACACAAACTCACCTTGCAGCCCTTACACATACAAACACAGAGTCACACAATGCATTCCTTACACACATCAGGACATCCCCCCCACACACACTCAACCCCCTGTGAACAAACTCATTGGTGGAACATGAAGGTGGACCCTGGACCCAGACCTTGAGCTGTGTAAAGGGCCCTCAAAAAAATGGAGCTGCTTCCCGTTGATCCCAGAACATTGATTTTTGTGATCACAGTTACAAAACGCCTCCAGAGGGCCTGTTCTACACCAGACCAGTGGAGCCAGACTGCAGCTAGAGCCCATCATAATCCTCCTCTGGTTGTAAGTAGGCAATCTAGTATATTATTTGTGGCACTAATCTCTAATTTACCTCACATTAAAGGGACACTATAGTCCCCAGAACCACTACAGCTTAATGTAGTGGTTCTGGTGTCTAGCCTGTCCCTGCAGGCCTTTTAATGTAAACACGGCGGCACTGCAGCACTGGTGTTAGTTAACATGGCAGATCATATGGGTGGGGCATTGTGATGTCACATGGGGGGGCGACAAACTTTACTTTTGCCTAGGGCGGCAAAAATCCTTGCACCAGCCCTGCAGACACTGCATTCCTGTGGGCGGACTCGGGGGGGGGCAGCACTTTGGGCGGACACGGGTGCAGGCACCGGGGGGCCCAGACCTTGAGCTTTGTCAGGGGCCCCAAAATTTCTGATGGCAGCCCTGTCTGTGACAATATGTGTAAGGGATTGGAGATAGTGAATAGGATATCATCTGCAAATGCAGCTACCTTGTATTCCTCCCCTTTTAGTGTGAACCCTCGAATGTGTGGGTTGTCTCGTATACCCTGAAGAAACGGCTCCAGTGCCAGTATTAATATAAGTGGGGAAAGGGGGCACCCCTGTCTCGTGCCATTGAAGGGCTAATTTTAATCTCAGTGCGAAGGTACTACAGGATGGATTTTACCATATAAAATAAGCAATAAAAGTAAACCAAATAAAATATTATGAGTTGATTGCTGTTAAGGGGACTTCGTCAGCAAATTAAGTTAATCAAAATCCTGTTATTTTTTGACCGATAACATTTTGCGCATATCTGATTGGCATAAAACCCATGTGCAGACTAGCAACAGGTGGCATTATTAAAGGACCACTATAGGCACCCAGACCACTTCAGGTCAATGAAGTGGTCTGGGTGCCAGGTCCATCTAGGGTTAACCCTGCAGCTGTGAAAAAATGTTCTCATTGACAGCCGCTAGAGGCACTTCCGCGCTTCTCACTGTGAAAATCACTATGAGAACACACTGACGTCCATAGGAACGCATTGAGAAATGCTTTCCTATGGACAGATTGAATGCGCGTGCGGTTCTTGACACGCATGCGCATTCAGCGCTGACGTCGGAAGAGGGAGAGGATTTCCCCAGTGCCGAGGGAGCCCAGCGCTGGAGAAAGGTGTTTATCCCCTTCTTCCCCCTGCAGCCCAGTGGGAGGGGTCCCTGAGGGTGAGGGGGGCCTAAAGACCCTATAGTGTCAGGGAAACGAGTTTGTTTTCCTGGCACTATAGTGGTCCTTTAATTGTATGGTGCTCTTGCAAGTAAATGGAATTTCCTTTGTTGTAATTACAAGAGATGACTAATTTTAGCATTTATTAATTCGTACACCCATAATTACCATTCTGTGCTATCATGGTTCATTCAATAGAACTATGGTCTGCCAGTGTTTGAAAAAGTTAGATATGCCCAGTAATAATATAGAATGATAGCAGTGGTATTAACAAGTATAGTGTTGTGAACTCAAAACAGCATGTTTTGTCTTTGTATATTTACACTAAGGAATTTGGTGTTATAAGGCATGTAATACAACATTAATAATTACACTAGTCTTTGGACAGTAATACAAGTTTTGTTATTAAGGTTTAGTTTTTAGTACACTTGCATTTGCATAATAAATATGGATAAGAAAATAAAGTGTGAATTGTTATCTAAAGTGCAAATTGTTAGCTATGATAGCAGTGAAAACATGGCTGGAAAACTGTAACAGTCAAAGAATAGTTAGAGTGAATGACCACTGTATTGGATAACCAAATAATGAATGCAATTGAGATGAAATTGTCAGTTGAAACATTGTTAAACCGATTAAGAGAAGATTGTCACATTGTGTAAGATACCGTATTTCACCGCATAATAGTCGCAGATTTTATGCCTAATTCCTTTCCTTAAAAATGGGGTTGCGACCATTATGCGGTGTGCGACCATTATGTGAAGAGTTCATTACAAGAACTCTGATCCTGATCCCTGTCTCCCAATTGTGATCCTGATCCCTGTCGTCCTGTCCTTGTAACTAAGAACATACACATTCCTAATGCATTACATAGATAAAATGCACTAAAATATAGTAAACTGATAGGCAATAACTATTATGCGGTGAAATACAGTAGTTTACTACCAGACACAATCCACTATTAAGCCTCGGGAACAAATTAACCTGTATCAGAGAAGTTGGGGACATGACTGCCTCTAAAACTAATCACCTGTCCTCACTGACAATGTGACTGCTGATGGCACCAGTAAAATAAATCATGTAAATAAACAATTTATCTGCTCAGAATCAAATGTGGGGTGGGGGGGAGGCGGGGGTTGGGGGGTAAATGAAGTGAGATGTGCCTGACTGTTGATTAAGTGGGAATGTGTATTTGGGGTGTCTAATATTATTATTTTTTTAAATGACTGCCCCATCGAACCGTAAGAGGAGTATAATCCCTGGTGGTCCAATCCTTGTTTGGTTCAGGGGTGCTGCAACTGCATCCCTTGTGGTCCAGTAAGGGAGTGTGTGGTCTGGACCTCGGGTCTGTAGCTCACTGAATGAGTTTGAGGATACTAAAACATCCTCAGCAAAATACTAAGGAATACTGGAATATCAATCGGGGTCAGGAGAACATGCTTAAGGGAACACATGTATTCCTAGAGCTATAGTGTTTTCCTCGTTAATTAGCTTCAGGCCTTGCCTAAATTTCAATATAGTAAAAAAAAAGAATAATAAGTTTTTACTTTTTTCCAGCACTGAGACTCACTCAGTGCTGACCCCTGCTCCTCCCATGACATGATCCTGGAGGCATCACTTCCTCTTTTCTTGTCCAGTCAAATGTTTGTCTTAAATAAGCGCTGAATCTAATGCATCCCTATGATCAGCATTTGATGAAGAAAACATTACAAAACTGAGTTAGAATGGATTCTCAATGCGTAAGTGCCTCTAGTGGGTGTCAGGAAAACAGCCACTAGAGGAATGTTTAGCCCTGCAGTCATAACATTGCCATATGTACTAAACAGAAATGTTTTCATGGTAGGGGCACTGCACCCAGACCCCTTCATTGAGATGACATGGTCTGGGTGCCATTAGTATCCTTTTATGGGTATAGGGAGCATGAAAGGGCACTATCTAGGAGTTAGAGGCAGGGGCGTTTTAGCTGCGAGGCAAACAAGGCATTTGCCTTGGGCGGCATTTTTCAGGGGGCGGCAAAAAACGCCGCCCCCCAAATGCCCAGGGCAAATGCCTAGTTAGCCTTGCGGCTAACTGACCGGCTGGGCAGGCGGCTGGCGAGGGAGCTCTTCCTCTGAGCTGTCCACTCAGCTCCCTCGTGCGACGCACAGTGAGGCTGGGAGCCGCGCGCACAGCAGCCAGCGCCGCACAGCCCGACCGGCAGCCACTGGACCACCAGGGAGATAAAGGGGGTAAATTAAAAAAAAAATGTGAGTGTGTGTGTGTGTGTCTGACTGTGTGTGTCTGACTGTGTGTCTGTTAGTGTGTATTTGTGTCTGACTGTGTGTGTCTGTCAGTGTGTGTGTGTGTCTGACTGTGTGTATGTGTGTGTCTGTTAGTGTGTGTGTGCCTGACTGTGTATCTGTTAGTGTGTGTGTGTGTCTGACTGTGTGTATGTGTGTGTCTGACTGTGTGTGTGTGTCTGTTAGTGTGTGTGTATGTTAGTGTGTGTGTGTCTGACTGTGTGTCTGTTAGTGTGTGTGTGTGTCTGACTGTGTGTATGTGTTGTGTGTGTGTGTGTCTGTTAGTGTGTGTGTGTGTGTCTGTTAGTGAGTGTCTGTTAGTGAGTGTGTGTGTCTGTTAGTGAGTGTGTGTGTGTGTCTGTTAGCGTGTGTATGCGTATCTGTCAGTGAATGTGTGTGTGTATTTAGAAGGCGGGGCGGGGGAAGGGTTGGGTGGGGCTGGGGCCCCACCCATATATAGTACTCTCAATTTCCTAACTTAGAGTAAAAGTTCATGCTTTGTGTGCTCATATACTTCTGGAGTACTTGGGAAAAAAAAGTCATACTTTTTCAAATCACAAAGCAATTACTGTAATTTGAAAACTAATTGACTCTAAAGATTCACTATAAGTGTGCTTTGTTTATTTGAGGTGAAGTAAGTCTTTTTTAGAAGGGATTAAGTATATGGAGCTTAATTCTGCCCTTATTGCAAATGATTCTAAAGCATATTTCTGTCTCAAATTGACCGAAACTGTAATGAACTCTTAATTAACAATCTAATGCATCATTTATTATTAAAGCAGTATCAGCTGTGTTTGTTAAAAAACCTAGCACCTTTAGAAACTACGGCAACTGATATTTTGGTATATTTGGTCTTTTAAGGTATGCAAACTAAAGATAGGAGACTAATTGTGTCTCGGTTCATTTATTTTTCGTTGATTGGGCTTCAAATGCATGTCTGCACTTCTGTTTAGCTGGTTTGGTAATTAAAAACGTGAATAATGTAATTTACTGTTGAAAGTGATTAATATTATATGGTGTAAATCCCAAAATGCATTGATACTGCAATATAAGAATAGTTTATATTTTAGGAAATGTACAGAAAAAAAAGGATAACATTTAACAATAAACTTTTAAAGAGCCTCACAACAAATAATGCCATAATGTGGTTGAAATAACATATAAGTACTTTCCCAACAAATATAAGATGATATTTAGCCTGAAATATTTGGCTCAGCGCCATAGCAGCTGCACCTCGATGAGGTTGTTGTGGTAGCAGGAGTGTTTCAATGCCGTCTTACCATCATGGGTTAAACCATTTTCCAATTTGGTCCTCCAGACAACACCTCTGACTTATCTCTTCCTTTCAGTGTGAGCTGACAGTCTCAGCCATAACCACAGTCCCCCAGCAGGGGAGGGCTGGCAGCCTCAGTCCTGGGGGGCAAATACAGTCAAGTGGCCCATTGCACCCCTGAATCAGCTCACCATCCATGCCCACCTTTATCTGGTTTTATAACGTATATTGATTTTATGCTAATCAGTAGCTCTTTGCCATACCCACTCCTTTGCGGCTCCGACTTTCAATGTTGTTAGAGTGCAGGCTGAGAATCTCTGAGCCTGTGCTCTGACTCACTAACTGAGCACTGGAACCACAAGGGAGAGGATATGATCTGACCTATTGCTGGTGCGCACCAATGGACCACCAGGGAATCGTTTAAATTAAATATGCTGGTGTCCCAAACTTGTGAGCTGTGTTGGCCGCCGTGTGCCTCTGTTGTCATGGTGCCCTACGTGACCCCACAGCTTGCACACCTCAAAGGCTGGCCCTGCTGACAGACACACTGGCACTCACTCTCAACACACACACACACACAAACCCTGACAGACACACACTCACTGACAGGTAGACACTTGCTTGACAGACACACTCGCTAACACACACACTTACTGACAGACACCAGTGCCATCTTAACAACATTATGGGCCCCCGGGCAAAGCAGTGCACTGGGGCCCTGCCTACACAACTTACAGGAATAAAACCGTAAATTATAGATACAATGAAGATTATATTTATAAGTACCTCCAACAAATGCAATGCTGAATACAATCGCACACCGACTGCTGAATACATACACACGACGACTGCTGAATACATGCATACAGACTGATGAATAAAAACACACAAAGACAGACTGCTGAATACACACACACAGACTGCTAAGTACACATAGAGAGTGCTGAATACATACACACAGTCTGCTGAGTACAAACACACACAAACATACACACAGACGGCTGAATACATAGACAGACTGCTGAACACACACACAGACTGCTGAATACATACAGACTGCTGAATACACACA